CCATATAGATACCCGAGATGAGTCTGACTGAAGAGTATCTTTATTTTTTATGATTATGATTTTCTTCAGCTCTACCTATTCCAAAATAACACTTTTCTCTTTCTGTAATAGAGGTGTGGTCTAAATTTGCATTTTGGCTTCATAAATCAAATAACACTATATATCTACATTAGCTTTTATTCTTACCCGTTGATAAAAACATTGTCATAAACTTTCTCAACTCCTTGTTGCTTTTAAAAATTGCACAACTTTCTTATCCGAGAAGATTACACAAGGCTATAATACAATAGGAACTAACTATCACCTCTCCAACATGGAGAATCCAAGGTTGCTCGTGCAACTGCAGATAAATGATGGCTGATGTTTGGAGGAATAATTTAAAGCACTTTCTCTATTACAGTTTTAAAGCATATGGAATTGCACATACTTATATTTTAAAGTACTTTCAATAACATTTGAGTAATAATCTCATACAGCGATAGTGAAAACATTGAGGAAATCTTTAACTGGAAATGTTGGCTTCGTTGACATTAAAGCTATTATATTTCTCTTTCTCTTTACTCTCTTCCTGTGAGTTCTACTCAAAGCAAGAGAACGTGCCATCATTTTTTTTTCTTTCAGAAATGGAACAGGGAGCCAGCCTTTTCTTGGTCCATGATACAAAATGCAATTTGATACCTGTAAGACTTACTGAGCCTAAACTATAAGCTTCATGATCACAACATCAGGCCTAATTTGGGGATTTTGTGTATCCTTCTAATGAAGAGTTCTGGAAAACTCAGATGTCTTGAGTTCCTGTGGTTCTAATGCTAACTACATATTTAAAATAATATTTTTTTTAAAAAAATCAAAGATCAAAACCAAATACCAAAACAATATTGTTTGTTGTTAAATTTTGATTAATGTGTCTTTCTCAAAAAATTATGTTAAGTTTTTATCTTCTAGAGCAGGGGTGTCAAACTCGCGGCATCACGTTGTCATCACATGACGTATTGTGACTTTTTCCCCTTTCGCTAAACAAGGGTGGGTGTGGCCAGCGTGTGAGGCATCCGGCCTGCGGACCGCAAGTTTGACACCTCTGGTCTAGATTAACTCTGATTATTCAGAAATAAATTAAATAGCAGATGTGTAAAATTTGAACCCAGAATATTTTAAATTTTACGCCTCGATTAACTTATCATTATTGTTTCATAATAACTTTTACTAGGTTTTCTTATTTTTAATAGATATAAAATGTATCCATCTTGTCTTTAAATAATGAAAGGATCCTTTTACAGTAATGATCTCAAAAGATCATTGGACCAAAGCTCATGATTTGCAGCTACTCAGTTACATTGACCAGGTTTTTAAAGCTCATTAGACAATGATATCGTTTTAATCCTTTGATTATGGTGTTAAATTAATAGTACTGAGATTAATTCTATCATTATAAAATATTTTGTCCATGATCATACTGAAATGCAAGAAGATAGGGAAGAGGGGGAAAACTGGTAGGTTACATTAATAATATTATAGCTAGGTTTCTCACAGTTCAAAGAAAACTTTTAGTTATAATAGCAAAATAAGACAGAATGCCTGTGTTCTGAGATAGAATGCTTCTGAATATCACACTTGGGGACAATCAGCAGTAAAGAACCAGCTCCCTAAAAGTGTCTATTTATTGAATTTGGAGCCTTTCTTTCTTTCCTTCCTTCCTTCCTTCCTTCCTTCCTTCCTTCCTTCCTTCCTTCCTTCCATCCATCCATCCATCCATCCATCCATCCATCTAAATAGAGGATTTGCACTGTTTTTGACAAGGACATACTAATGGCAAATAAGAGTGCTTCAGTCATGGATTGTTCCAAAACACTCTAAGGCTTTCAGACACAGGATGAAAACAACAGTGGTTATTTTGTGTTAATCTTTTTTACTGATCCTACTTACTGATCCTACAGTTCCTACTTGGTCAAGATCACAGTGGAGTGTTGAGAAATCTTTAGATCAAATCAAAGTTGTTCTAGCCATACTTTTTCCCAGATTTACTGTGAACTTTGCTGTACCTCCTGGCATTAGATCTGAAATAGCCAACTAGGGAAGCTGACTGGAAGTTTGGAGGGGAAATTAAGTTTGCTTCTCCTTAAGCATTATGTGGCGAGTTTGTTTTAGGAATATAATCCAGATTATGAGGTCATTACATATAGAATTAAATGGCAATTTCCCCAATGATTCAAGTCCATATTTTTTTTCAGCCTTCTTCATGCTGGAAAAAGGCAACATAAAAAAAAATAGGGCTGAACATTTACTCCACTTCAAATACTATATTTGTTTTCTCTTACCCCCATATCTGATGAGAAAGCTGTTGCAACTATGTTACTTATTTTTCATAATTGGATTTTAAATTTTTGGACTAGTTATATAAACAAAGCAGGTATATTTTTATTATTTCCATGGAAAAACCTCATTAAAAAACAAAGCCAGTACTTATAATGACAGCAAAGATACCTGTAGCATTAAAGGATAAAATAATTTTAAATGGTACTTTGCTGGAAAATTTAAGAGAAAAACAAATTAGGGTCTTTGTTTAGCACTGATACTAACTAGTTACTTTGTTCTGGGTTATACAATAAAGTCATTGTTATGTTTCTAGCAATTACAGTTACAAGCTATGAACTGAACTTGTATATTAAGCATATGACTGAATCCTACTTGAAAAAGGATGAAAATTATCAGCTAAGATAATTATATGCATATATAGTGTATTTTATTTTTTATTCAAATCAAAATATCATGTTGATTTCAATTATTTATTTAAAATCTAAACAACTAAAAGCCAATCATGCTTCAAGAGAATAATTAAAGAGTACTTAATTTTGGATAGATCATACCCAATATACTATATTAAAGCCCGACATTGCTTGGAATCTGGCTACCTGAGGAATTGTCTTTTTTCCAAGAGTTTCTATCCATTGTACTCAATCCAACAGATTGGGTATGCTACAGATACCATCAGCCAAAGAGTATTGACTGGCTGATGGAATCTGCAGCCAATTAGTGATGGCTTTCTCTGCTGTAGCCCCTGCCTTCTGGAATATTCTCCCCTCAAAGATTAGAATGGCCCCAACCCTGTTGGCCTTTTGCAAGGCTTTAAAAACTTTGTTAAGGGTGGTAAGGGTCCCATTACTTAATGTTACTTGATTAATAATCATGGCTATGGTTGTATTTCTTTATTTTGTGGATGTTTTCACCGTTTAATGTTTTTGAATTGTTCATATTGTTTTATGATTTTAGTATTATAAGCTGCCTAGAGTCACTTAGTTGAGTTGGAAAGATATAGAAATTAAATAGATAGATAGATAGATGCATACATAAATACATAAATATGTATTAGAAAAAAATCATTGATACTAGAAATCATTATTTATTGGCACACGCGCACACGCACATATATATATGCGAATACACACACACACACACATACACACAAACACTGTTTTCCCTAAAATAAGACATCCCCTTATAATAAACCCAATTGGGCTTTTGAGCACATAGCAATAAGGCCAAGCATTTATTTCAGGTTCAAAAAAATATAAGACAGAGTCTTATTTTCAAGGAAACACGATGTATATATATGGTACCATATGTACACTTATGTACCATAATTCTGGATGGTTTACAAATAATTTATTTATTGGTTTGATTTATATGCCGCCCTTCTCCGGAGACTCAGGGCGGGTTACAATGCGTTAAGCAATAGCCTTCATACTTTTGTATATACCTGCTTAGTAGGACTTTCGCCCCCCCCCAAGCGATGTTCTTTTTATACAAAGTCAGCTTATTGCCCCCACAATCCAGGTCCTCATTTTACCTACCTCGAAAGGATGGAAGGCTGAGTCAACCTTGAGCCTGGTAAGATTTGAACTTGCAGTAATTGCAAGCAGCTGGTGCTACTTAACAGCACTTTAGTCTGCTGTGCCACCAAGGCTCTTCCTAATCATAATACATCTTAATATATTTATGATTTAATGAAAACCGTAAAACTAATATAAAATTTCCCACCATCCCCAAAATCAACACATCCCTTTGATCTAAAACTCCTGAAATGGAAAAAAATGGATAGTACCACACTCATTTAAAACCTAATGTACTCAAGTTTTTCAAGGTTATGTAATAAGAGTGAACCAGATTATGGGGCTCCGATTCTGTGGATGACTTTAGCACTTGCTGAGTCAGAGATGAACAATGCTTTGGAAATGATAAGACCATTGAGAGTTTTCATCCAGCAATAGCAGTGTAGCTGCCCCAAAAAATAATCTAGTTTTATCACTAATGTTGCTGAAATTCAATGGATGATATTATAAAGTTGCAATCCATTGTTTTGGAATATTGCAATTTTTAGAGAAATGTAGTGGGGTTAAGGTCTAAAATTGATGGAGGTAGCAACATAGGTGATAGAGCTAGATATTTCCTGACTATAAGAGGAGAATTATATGGGTGGATTGTTGCTGGTGTAACACTACTATATTGTGCAACAAAGAGCCTGGGTGATTTCCTGAACTATATCTTTTGCATCACATATTATGATATGTAAATTAATTCCCATTTATTTGGCAATAATTTGTTTTTCTGAAGGAATACCAGACTCTGAATATTTCTTCTTTAATTTCATATTCCATGGACACATGGAGGCTTCCAAGGTGTATATGTGATGAATAGTTTCAGGAAAATAGGCATTGCTGTAGTGAATGTGCTTATTTGATTTTATTTTACAAAACACAGATGTTAGAAGCTCTCAATGAATACCTCATCTTAATGTCTAAAGTCTTCACATTTCCAACAGACATCAGGTGCAGCTGAAAGCCTTTCCCCATTAAGATGTGTATGACATATTTTTATAACTTTACTGGCTTCAACTTCTCATGTCATTCTGAACTTCGCCACTGCTACTTTAGCACGATGGCTAACATTTAAAAAAAAATATCAACTGCTCCATGTCTGATTACTGCAGAAACAACTCCTTCACATGCCAGAGCCTGGCTTTAATAAGAGTTCTCGCTTTACAGTCACATAATTACAGTAATGAATAACAGTGGTCCAGACATGCTCCAATATGGAGAAATTGGTTTTGTTCCATTTTCCATGAACTTATAGTCGGCAGTGAAATAGTGAAGGTGGTCGATAATTCTTGAAGTTCAGAATAAAGATGGACAGCATTATGGAGAAATGAAGACAAAATTAATTTCAAGGAAGAAGGCAAAGACAAATTTAACAATAATTTAACAAAATTTAACAAGAATATAGAATGTGTTATATAAGAATATTTCAGTAACAACAAAGACCAGAATAGCTAAAAAAGGTCTTTCTTGAGGTAATATTCAGCTGTAAAAGCTGGTCTTACAGAGAAGATGGATAGCTTAAGTTACCCACTGGAGACAATTACTAACTATTAAAGTCTGCAAGAAAGATCAATCAATCAGACCTGGACCAAATAAAGGCTGATTTATTCCTTGAAACAATGGTCCAAAGGTACATCACATATTTTAGGCATATAATATAAATTGATGACGGAGAAGGAGAAATCATTATGTTTACAAGGTTAAGGGAAGTAGTGAGAGAAAAACAATGGATAATATGAATGGCTAGGACAAGGATTCTTGGAACAGGTATAGGTTATTTTAATACAGACAGACCAAGACAGTAAGCATTTGTCCATGCAATTTTGAGGAGTTGAATCTGAATAAAGCACATGACTTCTATACTTTCTATTCAGGGTGAAACATTCTCTTTAATCAACTAAACTTAAGATTCAGCTTCACTTCTTGATTTTTCCATAAAATCATGTTTATATCCATGCCTCCTCCTTTCCCTTTCCTGTATATTCTGAGGTATAGAAAGAAAACACAAAATGAACATTTTGATTCTATCTATATATGTATTTTGAGATGCGTTTCACTTACTTTGGCAATGTCATGTGAGGAAATTCACTGGAGAAATCAATTACGTTTGGAAGAGTTAGCGGTAAAAGAAACCGGGCTGTTGAAGAACATGGTGGCTGGACACCAACAAAGCTGACACCAGCCAGAGCATAGAAAAGCTCAAAGAAATAGTGCAAGAGCAGATGTGGAGAGAGCTGGTCTATAGAATCTTCAAGAATCAGACTTTACTGAATGGATAACATCATCATCATCATCATCATCATCATCATCATCATCAATGTATTTTAGCTTTCACTTCCTACTTCTATTGGAATCATCCTTCTGTCTTGGCTAAAGAATCATATTTGTAATTACCTGATCATAATTAAAAGTTCAGTATCTGGATCCCTTACATTTTTTGTTTCAGAAAAGGTAATGGAGCCATAAATTGAACTTGTTAATTACAAGATGGGTGATCTGGATGGTTGAAGAAGGATAAAAATCTAATACGTTTCCTCCTTTGATAAGAGGGATCCTTTAGCACTATAGACATCTGCAAAAAATCAGGCTGGGCAATGGGGACAAATGATGAAACCTATGTCACATCATCATGACACCAGCATCTTTCCTTACTACAGGGCTGTCAAACTCACAGGGCTGGATGTGTCACATGCTGGCCATGCCCACTCCCGGTTTAGCGAAGGGGGGGAAAAGTCACAATATGTCACATGACAACACCGTGACGATGTGAGTTGTCTTGTGATGTCACAATGTATGCAGTTATTTCAGTATCATCATGGTTAGGAGCAGATGTGAATGCATCACAGGTACAAGCAAATTGCATGATTGCCAAATAACTGCCCAACAGTTTTATTTATAAGATCACTGATAAATCCAGAAGTAATCAGTTCCAAGATAGATCAGCTGGTTAGAACCTGATGTTGGCACAATGCTTTTTTTTTTAAATACCTTTATCTAGTTGTTTTTCATTCCATAGCTTTGCAGTGCTAAAGTTAATTAGTTTTAATCCAATCAAGCAGATTCTCTCAAACATTGTCTTTCAATCTAGAGGCCAACTATTGATTTCTTTGTTTTATTACATCTGAGGCAAGCCTTGGAGATATTAAATTCTTTGTGCAATCTTCCTTCCATGGTCAATAGTTGCTTTTCAATCTAGGCATTAGGTGTACTCCCCCATGCTTCATTTCCATGCATGAATCTATCTAGGGCTTACTTGACTGCCGTGATCCTGTTTTCATAATTTATAGTGCTCTTTTCACTTTATCACAACACCTCTGACTGTAGTTCAAAAATCAAACCAACCATCTTTATACTCAATGGGCTATATTAAAATTAATGATTTTACAACAAAATATTAGTAATTTTGAAGTCATCTAAGCAAGATTGTTTTGGGAATAGGGGAGGGAGGACTCCCTATTTATACCATAAGTGCCAAAGTTTATCCTGGATTGATTGGCATGTTTTACTTATTAGCTGTTCTTGTCCAGTTTCGTACTTAAAAGAATATCTACATTGCTTGAAATAGTCATCCTGTTTGAAAAGGCTGAGTACTGAAAGGGAAGCACATGTCTGCTGAGAGTTTCCAAATATTCATGACTAACCAAGCAGATTTCTATTTTAGAACAATTAAAAATAGTGCATTCTTCCATGTGGTAGATTTATATACTAACCAAAGTATTAGTTATTCTTTGGTAATACATTTACTCTGGGAGTTGAAAATCTCCCCCAATATTAAAGCAATATTCTTTCCCAATATTAGAGTAATATTGTTTCTATTTTTGAAGGAAAGTGCATAAGTCTGCTAGGAGACTGCCTGTAAAAATATTATTAATATATATGTCTTCACATGTGTATAGTTGTGAACTTATATGTGTAGAAATGTGTACCAACTAGCATTGTCCCGAATGCAAAGATTGTAGATCATGGAAAGCCAGCATTATTTTATTCAGATGGACATCATAATGAATATTATGTTAGTTTTCTTCAACAGTACTGCTTTTAATAGTAATATCAAAGGGTAAAATATTTTCAACTTTTCTCTTACGGAAATAGAAACATAGATAATTACTAATTTTAAATAATATTTAGAGGGCGAGTTTTTTTTTTCATTTTGATTATTTAAATATTTCCTATATCCTGACCAATATTCAATAAATAATTCTCCAAGAGACAGCCAGTGATTTAAATGGAATTTAACGTTGTTTTGAATCCTGCCTTTTGTGAATCCAGAACACACTTCGTAAGCCTTTTCTGTCATCTGAGTTATTAAATGTTATGTGTAAACAGTGATACAATAAAACAATACAATATATCTGTCTGCCACGTCCTTGGGTGAAGGTTTATCTAGAATACTTTGTCAATAATGAAAATGTACTCTCTCTCTCTGTTTTCCTTATGCTTCCTCAAGATCCATCTTTCCTTTAAAATTTATGCAGATGAACTACCCAGGTTTGCTGTGGGTTGATTGGTTTGTACATTCTTTTTGCCTCTTATTTTTCTTCTTTATTAACACCATCCCTATGGTCAAAACTAAAAATTCATAGGCTGAATTGCTATTTACTTATATCTACCTCATGCTCCCTTCCCATCTGTTTTAGTAAACTGGATTAGGAGGATTTTCCCTGAACTCCCGTTCAAATAAAATCTCCCACAGAAATTTAAATCCATTATATTTTATGATAGAGATATTTGTCAATACAACGAAAAGGAAAAAGCAGAATTCTCAAGATGCATATTTTAACTTAATGACTTCTGATTTAACTGAAAGACTTCTGTATTATTTAAACGTGGGCAGTAACAGTCTTATTTTTTTTAACAGAAGCATATTGATTATAGGTAAAAGAGAAGTACCGTAACTGTTTATTTGCAAAAATACTAATATTTTCTTGAATAAATATTCATATGTAAAAGCTAGCCCAGTCTTCTAAATAAGGAAAGGGGTTAAAATCAGTGTGACTTCTGAATCAATTAATTAGGGATTTGAAACAGTAATGCCACTGATTTATAAAGCAATCTTCTACTTTTGGTGACTGTTCTGACTCTGTTGCATTAACTAAATTAAATCTGAATATTTAATGAGGCAAGCAGAGATTCTTTTTCCTATAGAATGTACATTTCTAGTGAAGGATGAAACCACCTATAAATATGATTTTAATTCATTTCTTTAAAATGCATAAATTACACTATCCATGAAAATGGAATTAGTTAGATGAAATATCCTCATTAAGAAAGATGGGGACAATTAAAATCCTCATTTTGTCCAATTTCTGGACAATCTGGACTGCAAATAAAATGCAGCCTACCCTAGGGGGGAAAAACAGTTGTGACTAAATTATATTGAAATAAACCAAGCTTAAATTAATCATTAGCTTTTTCTTTCAAAAGATTCAACATAATACAATTTCTACCTCAGTAAGTTTTACTTCCAAATAACTGCACATAGGATCAGAAAGTGTTTTAGGACCAGCTTTTGCTAAAGTGCACCTTTACACTACAAGCATTTCCTCCAATATTTCCCACACAATTTCAATAGAGTTGCTAAAATGTATAGTAGTTATTCCATCCTCTATTGTAGAAGTTTTGAATAATGTGCAGGATATAATGAAAACGTTACTCTTTGGCTTAAGAATTCCGAAATTAAAATGTAATTTCATGACCAAGTTATTATTTTTCAGCCCTGTTGTAAGGACAAGTAACCTAACTACGTATCACATGAAAATATTTTATATTTGCTTTCTTTTTAAAATCTGTTGTCCCAAACTTCCTATAAGCAAAATTTTTCAGCTGAAAAGAATGACAGTATTTTAGCTAGTTATCCTTTGGCATTCAAGGTGCTTTATGTTTGATTCCCAAGCACAAATTCTGTTCCTACATTTTTTTTTTAACATGGAGATGTTGTGATGGAAAAAGGAAAAACTTAACCTATTCAGTAGTCTATCAGAAGTCTGTTGATAGTGATTTATGAGTAGGAACTTCTATGCAGATGACATTTAAAATTTTCAATCTAAAAATTAAAGATATAACAATTACACAAGTCCTTTTGAATGTGATTTTTTTGTTCCAAAGGTGGCAAGATTCAGAGAAATTTGATCTAAAGACAAGAGTCTATGTGAACCAATATATTCTATTGATAGAATAGCCTATTTGGATCTTAGACTAATATGGAAAAAGAGTCAAAATATATGTCATTCCCCCCCTCCCCATGGGATGGGATAAAAGTGGTAGATGGCATTAACCCTGAAAAATTTTGTCCAGAAAGAGTGGCACTGAAACAATGTTTAAAACAATACTCCTTTAAGGCAGAGATAGCAAGAATTAGGAAAGAGGATAATTCAGTAAAGTCCCCATAAATAGTTTTGCACCATTGCAGAAAATATCCTATCCCAATTTAAAAATAATGAAAAATTATAGTTTTTTTTTTTAATTTACTTGGCTCTCCAAACGTGCCATGGTATTGAAGAATGCCTAAGGACTTGCTGATGGGCGAGTACAGCTTTGTTGCCTCAAATAATGGCTTAATGCCTCATTATTGGCTTTGGTTGAATGTAAAGTTAAATATGTTTACAAAGCTTGACAACTGAGTTAGGATTGTGGCTTACTCGCCGTGTTGTACACATATTAGCAAAAAAAATAGGATGCCATCATATAATACAATGCCGTGGAGAAAGTGACATTCATAGACTCACTCTTCATAGTTTCACAAACAGTTAACTGTTTGAGCTAGAGCCTGTAATCAGGCTGGCTTCCATATCAGATTCAGAACATTTAAGTCTGTCCCATCTATGACAGAGTGGAGATGACAATATTGGACCAAAACTAGTAAACCTCATGGTGAAAGATGGCTGAAAGTCTATTGTAGCCTTAGAAGTTCAGTGAGTGATTTTTGACTGGTCTCTCTCATGTGGGCCACCCTACCTTACAGAGTTGCTGTTATAGATAGAAAATAAAGTAAAATAAAAAGAAATGTTTACATAAGTCATCTTGTGCTCCAGAAGAAAGGCAGGTCATAAATCTAATGAACCGACCAGATATTAGACTGGTCGGCCTTGTCCCATTTTCAGGGCTGAACTTCTAGTTGTGTTTGCAGGACAAGCATAAAAGTGTAACCTTCTATCAGCACAAAGAAAGTCAAGATAATGCTTGTGTTGGTTATTTTAAGAAACTAAGAAGAAAGTAAATGAAGCCCCAAGCAATATTTGCTACCTTAACAAAATTCACTCAGGGGCCAACTATTTAGGACACCACAGAGAGCAAATATACCATATGAAATTAAACGTGTGACTTCACTTTCTACACATTCTTTGTAACAAACTGAGAAAAGCAGGAAAGTTGTATATAAAGTATTTTGCAAATATCACAAAAATGCTTCAACTAAATGATTAAAAAAGGTAATTAAAAACGGCATTTTTAACTTTGGGGAGGGAAGGGTGTAATAATAGAAAAAACTGAAAGCTGAAGAACTGTAAGTAGAGTGGAACTATATTATGTCAGACCAACTTAAAGTTAAGGATGATAAGGTTAACAGGTTGTGAATGGGGGTAGAATTAGAGAATCACAACAGAAGCAGTAAAACAGATCAGAAAAAAAGAGCAGAATAAATCTGACTCTGGCTTCTCCCTGCTCAAGCAAACCTGCCTAACAAATTCTATCAGAACAGTGAGAGACAAAAATATTTGACAAAGATGGAAAGGCAGGATTTATGGAAGTAATAAGACTTACTGACCACAAACTTAGTTCAGTATCAGGCAGCCCAGCACACAACTCAGAATCCTTGCTAACTTTGTTCATACAGGGAAGGAAAATTGCAATGATATTTGAGGCTCTATAAACCCTAAAAGTCTATTGAATTATTTTCCATTCTAGTTCCTGGTTTGATTCAGCACCTCTAAGATTTGATTTCAACATCCATTGAAAGGAGAGTTTGGACTGAATCATCTTCAGACCAAACGATCCTTTTGAAGATTCACAAAGCCCTATTAAAATCACAGCGTAAAGTCTAGTTTTTGAGTTTCACAGAGTTGTTTTTCAAACATATTATAAAAATTAAGATGGCGGCACAGAATAAAAACTGCTAGAATAAAACAGGAGCCACATCTCTTAGCAGTTATCAAGACTCTATAATTTAAACTGCTTTTGCAAAATCATTTTTTCTATATTAGGAGGGAGTGTGACTTTCAGTACTGTCACAAAGTCATTAGAACAAATTAATGGCCGCTTACTTTTATATTTGCAGAGAAAAGTACCAATTACCCCTATGATACTCTACGTTACTATCTGCTCTGCTGCCACGTGAAATACTTTGCAATGGGTTCAGTTTATTCTCCCTAATCTAGGGGAAAAAAACCAACTGTTATAAGTTATCCTCACATTAGCTGAGGCAGCTACTATCAGGCCGTACCCGCTTCCACATTTTCAATCTCCAGATACGGTTGGCAACGATCTACTTCTCTCTTAGATATTCTGGAAAGATCCCTGTCATATAGCAAAGGAGATAATTTGGAATAAAACAGACCAGGAGCCTGACTTGCTATATCAGACCTATTGTTTCTGTTTCCTCACTCTTTTTAATTCCTTTTAATGTTGTACAGGACAAAGGCGTCTCTAAAACACGAAAGGTCACTCGCTCCAGCTTCCCTGTTTGCTGGCCTCAGTAAAAAAAAACAAACCCAAAAACGTCGAGATTACGCTTCCCTCAATGAATATTGCATTGGAAAAGGGAGAAAAGGGTGGCTCGGGGCGCTCTGCGGAGCCACCACTTTGGAGTCTCCCTCCCGCCAAAGGCCAATTTGCCAGGCAGAAGGAGTCGCAAGGGCGAGCGCGAGGCTCCCGGTCACGCTCGCTCGCGCCTCTCCCCTCTTTCCCCCCCCCCTCGCCCAGCGCCCCTCCCTTCTCCGGCGGGAAGCACAGCCGCCCGCCCGCCGGCCGCCGATTGGAAGTTCCTCGCCCAAGCTGCCGCGCGTCCTATTGGAGTCGGCTTTCCACATTTCATGCGGGCTTCAAAAATGGCCCTGGGCAGCCGGGGAGGGAAGAGAGGAAGGGAAGCGCTGGCTGGCCGTGACCAGCAGAGCGGCGGAGACAGCTATCCCTCCTAGCGGAGCCTCACACAACCGGCCTTTGCGTAGTGGAGAGGCGGGGGGGGGGGGGCGCTGTCACCCACTTTTGGTCTGACTTCGGTGTCGCTGGAATGGAGCCGTTTTTCTAACGGGGCCGCCTGCGTCCAAGGGGCAAAGCGCGCCTCCTCGGGGCTAAGTCTGCTATTCAGCGCGGCTGCCTTTCCCTGCCGGAGATGCTGTGAGGAGTCGGGATGTCCGAAGCAACAACCCTCGGGACAGCCCGAAGACGCGCTCGGTGTTGAAAGGAGCTTCGGGCTGCTCTTTTGAGGCGCTCGCCTCACCTGCCCCAAAGGCTTTCTTCCTCCCCTTTCCCCCCACCCCCACTCCACCGTATGTGGGATTCTCTCCGGGAGTCCTTCGACGGGCGTGAGCGCCGGAGCGCGAGGCGAGGAGCACACCTGCCCATGGAGTTCCCGAGGGGGACGGCCGTCCCGTAGCCGGAGCAGAGCGTGAACCCCGACCAAGCCTGGCTCTCCCCCTCCCATCTTTTTATTAGGAACCCCCCCCCCCCTTCCCCCGCCCCCCCCCCCACGTCCCCTTCCTTCGACAGAATGGTCTCTGTCCTGAGGTCGATCGGGTCTATCGCTCCCCTATCAGGGCTGCTGCCATTCCTCGCCATCCTTTCGACGAGACTGTCAGGAGGAGATCATCGTCGGGGCAATCGGAAAGTGCACTAATCGATCGTCCACGACCAGAGTTTGCGCCCCCTACCCTTTCCCTTCCCTCCCTCCCCACACACTTTTTCCCCCCTTTTCTTTTAAAGAAGAAGATCGGGAGCCGTTTCTCAGAGACAGGTATTTCTGCTGCTCTTCCGCACCCTCTTTCCCCCTCCCCACGTCTCCTCCTCCTCCTCCTCCTCCCCGAAGGACACTAGACGAGAACTTTTACAGGGTTACTATGCAATTGCGACTGGTTTCTTGGTTCTTTATCACTTGGAACTTAATGGAATACGTTGGCGGCCAGGAGCACCCTTCCAGAGTACGACGACAGGGAAGAAGTAAGTGCGCCTTTCTCCAAGCGCCTCTCTCGAAGCGGGGCTGAGCGCCTCGCTCTCCTGGCGGAATAGCTGTGGTCTTAAAATGAAGGTTTAGGCTTCTTGTAGTGAAGGGTCACCCGTTAATGATATTTATTTAGGCTTCTGCAGAGAAGGATCCGCCGTTACGTTCGGTGCGGTTGCTGTGCCAGGTAAAACACACCTAGAATTGCAGCGTCTCTTTGCCCGCGCGCAGCGATCCTATAAATGCACTGAAGCAAGTGTAGCGGTGGGGTTTGATGTGGAGGAAGTGTAGGAACACAGACGGGTTTTCAGGAGACTGGCCTCCAAGTAAGTACGTTTATGATTGTTCTGCGTGACTCTTGTTAAATTAGTGGAAGAAAGCCTACGAACTGCAAGTCATTTGAAAAATGGATTTCGCTGTATGGTCTGCGAAGGAAAAGCCTTTCTCGGCCTTTCTTTGTTCGTCAAAAGCTTAGAAACGATCCAGGCGAAATTTGATTAACCAAAGCTTAACCTCTTCCTTATGTATTAGTCTATCCCTTTCCTCTAACTGGTGTGTCATTCGGGATCCGGGAAGCCTAACTGTGCCCCACAATCAATTATAGGATGTGTGGCTGATTAGCTTCTCCTGCTCCCGATGCAATGGAGCTCTGGTGAGGCCCAGCTGGGTTCCAGCAAGTGCCTGCTGATTCTTTTGCACAGCTATTGAAATGAGGTCTGTCTTCCTTCTAAGCTCCTAGTGGTACTGATGTCCCTTTGGTGAATGGGTTACACGCTGTAGCCAGTAAAAAGAAAAAGAGAGAAAAAGGAAGATAGACAGACAGACACGTAGGAGATGTATTGGGGGGGGGAGTGGGTAGGCTTTTCTTGAACTACAATATTGGAATGTCAAAATAAATGAGAATGAAGATTCTTGTCAAAAGTTTACCTTGAGGCTGGAGGAAGGCAAGGATCATCCAACCTATCTCACATCTCTAAGGAGGGAGGATAACTGGTCAATCTAAAGGTCACAAAAAGATCCCAAATTAATATTGTACAACAAACAAGCCCAAAAGCCACAACACACATAGCGGAGTACTGCTGAGCAGTGCAACCTAAGCATTTTCGCTGAGAAATAAGTTCAACTTTGTCACATGGAAGTATTTATAGATTTGTGCCTGTCACTGATTTCAATAGTATATTTTCACTTATGCATCATAAATCTCGGTGGCTTAATTTTGGCTGGATTGTGTTTTGCTCTTACTCAGAAATATGCAGAGGCCTAGGGAACTTTGTAGTGACAATGATGGATGCTAGTTTTTCCAAACATAAGCTACATCTAACTTTGGTGTTCCAGTCTAGGATATCAGTTGATAATCTTGCCTCATGGCTTCATTTTCAAGGCAGTGGCTGGGACAGTCTCAAGGCTAAATAAAATATATAACTTAAATATGTGTCTTAATTCATTTGTAGTGTTAGGTGGAAGAAGGAGATTTTTTTAAAAAAAGATACGTAAATTCAGAAGAGTGGGAGTCAGTTTGTTCTTGCTTTTCATTTCTGGTACTATCTTGAGAGATGCTCTTTCTCTCATTATCATACCCCATTCTGGTATATTCCAACTGGTTTGGATTAAAAGTTATGCACCAGAGGGGACCAGGTTGAAGGAGGCAGAATTACCTTTTCCTATCTTTCTTGTGAATAACAGCAACACTTTATAGAAAATAAAACAGAAAACAAAAATGTCCATCTGGACTAGTGCTCCCTCAAGATTTATATTTCTAAGGCCTTTCTGAAAGTGTCAGCAAGCCCTCTGGGACCGCTTCATCTTCACGAGTATTTCTCCCTCTGCCTTCTGACACTGTTTGTACTTCTGAAAAAGGCTACTTATTTCCCTCTTGCTTAATGGCTCTATTCTGATAGGGAGAAGGGAATGTCAGAACACACAGCAGTCTGTATTCATTTTTTAAAAAGTACACTGGGTTATTTCCTAGGTTTTGCCCAACCTTCCCTTTCCCCACTATGGCATGCATATCTCTTGAAAGGCTTCCTTTGTAGCATTGGACTCTGAAAAAGAAGATCTGTCTGATTTCACTGAAGGTTCCCTGGAAACATCACTTTTTGCAAGGGATCTTCAGACCATCTACAATCCAGTGAACTGAAAGAAGAAAAGGTAATCAGGGTTTGACAAACGAATCAGGTGATTACCTTGGGCAATGGACTTCTATGTTTTATGCTTTTCTGCAGTCTAGCTAGAAAGACTGGTCTCTAGATAGGTTTGGTTTCAGAGTTGCTGAAAGGTCACCAAATAGATGTGGGGACTCTTCCCCACACTGCCCCCTCTCTCAAGCAAAAATAAAACAAATCATATCCTATAGGATTAAATGTATCCAATGAAAATATTTAAGTGTGTATATGTGTTATCTCATTGAATGCTAATAAATTCAGTCATCTGTCCTGGCTGAAATAAACCAATTTCTTCTAATTTCTCTTTTGTTCTTGCACTTACAGTGGAATGGGGAAGTTATTTTGTAGTTGCTTGTTGATTGATTCTGATGGATGTCCAAATTGGCAGTCAGAAATCAAACCCCCGAGTCTACATTTGCATGGCAAAGTTTTTATCTACTGTTGTCTTATATACACGGACTTGTATTGGTACCTTACTAGCACCCTCTAAAATTACTGCACTGATTGATTACAGTGATATTTAGGTAACAGTCTCTATCACTAATGAGAAATGACCTTGGGGAATCATATCCCCATCGATGAAGTTGGCATAGGATTACCTTTTCAGATTATGCTTGCTTGCAATCAAAGATCCAGACTTAATAGGAAAACTGTATTTTCATACAGAAGTAGCGTAGACACTGCAAGAATACCTATATATGTTTTATTTATATCTCCATGAGATTGAAAAAAGAATATGAACCAAGAAAACAGGTTCTTCAGGATCCATGAGTAAAAAAGTTACAACCTGAAAATAGTTTCATTTTTCCACTTGCCCAAATGAACAGATAATTATTTAAGAAAGAGGAAGGGCTTCTCTGGGCATTACCTACTCAATTCAATTTTCTCCAAGGTTTTCCATCTCTCCCTGAATTTTCAGTTGTTTGCACAGAACTCTAAAACTGTGAGAGGTGCGACCTCTGGTGACTGCTGCAGAAATCCATTCAGAACTCATATACACACTTAAATCACTCTCCCCTTTGCAGATGTGGGCTTGCTTCTTGCAAGTGTGCTCAAAGACCACAAAAGTGAAATGCTACCTGGAACTTTGTGCAATTATTTAAAAGGCCTATACTTTGCTTCTATCAACAATTTGCCTTCAAAAGCAACAATTACAGGCCCTAAACTTGTATTTGGAGGCAATGAACATTTGGGTAGAAGAGAATGATCGGTGGAGATGATGCTGATAAGATCAGCAGATTTTTAATCAGCATGTTAGATAATAGTTTATCATCATTACAAATTAATCAGGTAATGTAAAATTCTCCACTGTTGGACAAAGATTTACTATAAAGGTAGCTACTCCTGTTACTTGGGGTCAGAGCAAGGGAAGAAAAGCATACAAGGAGAGTCACGGGTGCAATTTTGAAAAGTAACTATAAGAGATTCCATTTAAATGAATGGTGGTAGACATCCAACATTAATATTTATCACTCATCAGCTGCTGGTATTTTCTAAATTCAGCAGCATTGCTAGTGAAACACAACAGTTTCAGCATATGAAAATCCTGGAGTTGTGTGTCTTCTATTTTTTTTATTCTTCCACATAGTATCTTATCTTTATCTGCAAGAATATTTGTACAAAACATTGGTGAGGAAAATGGAACATGGGAATGTTTCAAAATTGGCTTTGAATTTAGGATGGGATTTATCTTTTTATCTAACTGTAAACCATCAGTTTTCCTGGATATACAGTAGGTGAGTGCAGGAAGACAGGAAGAAAAAAGGAAATGCACTCACTTGTCTACAAGAGTGAGGTGGAAATTGGGGGGGGGAGGGGGTGGCTGCACTGTCCTTTCACTGGACCTCTCCTAGTTTTTGCAAAACTTCACAATAGAACACAATAATTGGATTTAATATTTCCTCCTTTTTAAATTAGGACAATTAAAAAACAACTTTTGAGTTTCAGACTATGAGGCTTTGGCTTATGGGTGAAGAAACCAGAAAAACAACAAGGGAAAAACAAGTTGTGGTGAACAGACTACTGGTATGTGGTCACATTTTCTTCTAGTGGGCAGACTTCATGAGAACCTTAAATTTCCTGTGTAAACCAAAAATGATATTTGGTAATGTTCTCTCCAGAAAACAATGTTCATGTATTCAAGTAGTTTATTCATCATGAATAAATTAATGGAATACATTTAAAATGAAACATGGTTTCTTCTTTTTCTGAAAGAACAAAAGTTTCTTTTGTGGTCAACCTAATAGTCCTGCTTTGCCCTGCATGAAAGTGAAGTGAAGTAATCACCTTACAGTATTCATATTTAACTAATAAAGTATTTTCCTGTCAGAAAGAAGACACTTATTTTATCATTTCTGGAAAGATTGTTGTATTAGGTTCATCTGAGGATCAGTTTGAGAAACTTTGAGAAAAATCAGTAGTATAATTGCACTGTCAGCAGAAACACACTTTTACAGCAGATAAAGCCAATATTTCAGCTGCAATTTATTCAGATAACATATAGCATGCAATAGAAAGATTTAAAGACATTAACAGTGGAGTATTCTGTGTTTTATTCGAGTAAGATTTTTTAAAATTAACACAGTTTGAGAATTTAAAAGGACAATAGTGTAACAATGAAAGAGCCAAAACACATCTTTTCTGAAATATATTCCATTTAATTCAATAAGTCTTATTTTCTGTCATTTTACATGGAGAAATAATAGTATATGTTAAATAATTTGAAGAGATCCCCTGTGATAAAAATCAGTCAATAAACAGCTTCTTCTATTTTCTAAGGAATTAGGTGAGAAATAAAGAATCAAAAGACATATAACAGATGTTTCCCTCAAATTTTC